ACATCCATAAGAACAACAACTTACCTACGTGCCACTAAGATATTCATAAGTACACAACTTACCTACGTGCCTATAAGAAATCAATAAGTAAGGCTCAAGGTCTTTAAGACCTTGAGCCGACACTAAGTCTTACGAGTCAGTAAAAAAGACACCAGCTCACTGGAGTCCTTACACAAGAGCCTCCAGCCGTGTAACTAGGGTCCATCTTACTGGACCTCAATACAGTAGCACGTGGCTCTTCAAGATTTATTCACACACACACACAAACACACACACATGATAAACACCTTTAAAATTCTCAGGGGAATTGACAGGGTGAACAAAGGCAAACACTTTAACACAGGTGGTACACGAACAAGGAGATACAGGTAGAAACTTTGTACCAAAATGAGCCAAAGAGACATTAGAAAGAATTTTTTCAGTGTCAGAGAAATTAACAAATGTAATGCATTAGGCAGTGATGTGGTTCTTCTGACTGCATACACAGTTTCATATGTAGATATGATAGAGTCCAGTAGGCTCAAGAATCTGTATACCAGTTGATTGACAGTTGAGGCGGGACCAAAGAGCCAAAGCTCAACCCCCGCCAGCACAGCTAGGCGAGTACAATTAGGTGAGTAGACCGGCCACTGAACTACAGGCCAGTGTCTTTAACACGTATACCATGCAAGTGATGGAGAAGATCGTGAGAAAGAACCTAGTAGCACATCTGGAGGGAGGGAATTATGAGGGAAAAGTGCCAAGCCGTCTGGAGATTCCCGGCGGAGGCGGAAACAAATGAGCAGAGTTTCTTTTAACCTGATGCAACTGTTCACCTAGCAATAAATAGGTACCTGGGAATTAAACAGCTGCTACACACTACTTCCTGGAGATGTGTGTGTGCGCGTGAGTTAGAAACAAAAAATGTAGTAGATATAATAGAGAAAAAAGTTATTGGTTAAAAAGGCGGGGTCCAAGAGCTTATAGCTCGATTCTGCAGACACAAATAGTAAATACAGTCTCTTAACGTACACCGCTGTTGACAGCTTATCTGTGAGCGTTCTGGCCACGCAATTTGCAGTAAATCCTTATACAGATATTAATGCAATCGGACCTGCAGTCACCAGTGATTGGGCTCTGGCGTATTACAGATGGAAAAGTCACTAATTACTTCAGACTTAGGTGAAGATTGGCTACTTCCGAGCTCTGTGAGGCAGCGTGTCTCCCCTTTGGGTCTATAGCCCCGAAAAACGTTGTCCGTGACTCCAGAGGCCATGCAAGCTTCCTTGACGTCATCACCTGACGACTAATCACAATACTAAGCCACCTAGGTCTTGTTCTCAAATGCCTTTGAATGGTGCTCGCGCACCTGCAGGCACTTCGCGCCATGACCCTAGTTGCAAAGCGTTTCGGCATGAGTGACACGCCTCGGAGGGGCAACAGAAGGAGCTGCCTTCAGCTGGGCTACTGTTTTTAAGGATGAGAGCCTCTCTCTCTGCCCCTCCACAACTAACTTACATTAAACAATTCCCCACCTAGCTCTGGGTACTTCACCCCTGGGCTTGCACTTCTGCATACTCCATTACCCTGCAACCAGTTGACCAAGGTCGACACTGGCAACATCTCTTAAGTCCTCTTTGCGTGGCGAATCTGTAGACTCCAAACTTGACACATAATGGATGAGAACTAAGGTAGTTGTGCCCAGCAAACATATATGTAGACAACCTTTCCATCATGAGCAGGCATGAGCTTGTGCTATGAGGGAGAATCTCCACAGGCATGAGTCTCCTGATGATCGGGTGGGTCTCTGGTCCCTCCAGAGAATCCTTGGTAAGTCTGAGACCTATGCAGGCGACGAGTCACAATAACGTGGCTGAAGTATGTTGACCAGACCAAACACTAGAAGTTGAAGGGACGACGACGTTTCGGTCCGTCCTGGACCATTCTTAAGTCGATAGTGATGAGGAGATAGAGACAGGCAATAAATAGGCAAGAGAGAGCTGAGGAGGAAAGTAAGGTGTAGGGGATAGTAGTAATAATAAGAACTGCAGAAGGCCTATTGGCCCATACGAGGCAGCTCCTATTATAACCACCGAAGGAGATAGTAATAGGAATAAGAAGAGGATAGCAAGGGAGCGTAGGAGAAGACAATGAACAGAAAAAGGGGAGAAGAGAGAAAGAAAAGGAGAGAGAAAGAAAGATAAATGGAAGGAGTAAGCTTATGTTAAGTCACGTTTGTTAGAAAGTTTAGAGTATTTGAGTATATACTGTGAAAGGGAAGAGTCCACAGCAACAAAGCCAGGACTCAAGTTCATATTGGGTACATTGTGTATAAGAGCCGATTCTACAAGACGGCGTCTGTGTAGAGTAGAAGCAGGAAAGATTATTTTGGAGGAAGACCAATCAATGGGATGATTGGAATCCCTCACATGGCAGAAGAGAGCATTGTTAGTGTCTGCAGACTTAACACTTCTCTTGTGTTCTTTAAGTCTGTCATTCAGTGTACGGACAGTTTCGCCAAAGTATTGGAGAGGACAAGATGAACAAGAAATAGAGTAGACACCAGCAGCATTAGAAGCAGGAGAAGCAGTGTGAACTAGATTGCTACGAAGTGTGTTAGTTTGTCGAAAGGCGAGTTTAATGTCAAGAGGACGAAAGGTATTGGTAACAGCTTTGAGTTTAGATATGAAGGAAAGGCATAGTACAGTGCTACTAGTGTTGGAAGCAGGTTTAGGATGAAAAAAATTTCGTTTAGGTTGAGAGTAGGCACAGTTGATGAAATGCAAATGATAACCAAGGCGAGAGAATTATTTGTAGATAAAGGCAATTTCAGAAACAAGAAACTGAGGGTCGCTGATGCGCAGAGCGCGGAGGAAGAGAGATACGAGGACACTTTTCTTAACAGAAGGAGGATGGTAGGAAAAGAAATAAATGTACATGCCACTATGCATGGGTTTACGGTAGACAGAGAAAGAGAACCCAGACACAGAGCTGTGAACATGAACATCAAGAAAAGGAAGGAGGGAATTAGATTCCCATTCAACTTTGAAATGGATAGAAGGAGCCAGATTGTTAAGAGAGGCGAGGAAAGGCTGGAAAAGATTAAGGTCATGAGGCCATAAAGCAAAAATGTCATCAACATAGCGAAGCCAGAGAGAGGGACGAGTATCAATAGAAGGAAGAAAAACAGTTTCGAAGTATTCCATGTAGAAATTAGCAAGAACAGGGGAGAGAGGGGTACCCATAGCGACACCGAAAATTTGAGTGTAATATTTACCGTTGAAAGAGAAAGAGTTAGTCAACACAGAGTCTAATGAGATCGAGGAAAACGTCAGTGGGGAGCGGGAGAGGAAGGAGGCCCTCTGACGCTTTCTGTCTAAGGAAAGAGAGAACGTCATCGAGCGGAACATTAGTGAACAGAGAGTCGACATCAAGACTAAGCATCTTACAAGAGGGTTGCAGGCGCAGTCTTTCTATGAAGTCCTGAGAGTGACGAAGGTGGGCAAGGGAAAAAGTGCCAAGGTAAGGTGTCAGGGTTTTAGCGAGCCAGGAGGCAAGAGGATAGCTGACAGGGCCCCGTGAAGAAATGATAGAACGAAGAGGAACACCAGGTTTATGAGTCTTAGGAAGACCATAGAAATAAGGAAGAGAAGGGCAGATGACACGGAAACGTTTAATGAGATCAAAGTCAGGAGGGCAAAGACTAGAGAGCTGTCTTAGTTTGCGGTTAAAGGAAGTTTTGAGGCGATCCAAAGGATTAGAAGTCAGAGGAGCATAAGTGCGAGTCAGAGAGCAAGACATCTGCTTTTCGGAGGAAGTCCTCACGGTCAAGGACAACCACCGAATTGCCTTTGTCGGAAGGAAGGATAAGAATGGGGTTGTTAGATTTCAGGGAGGCAAGGGCAAGCTGGAAGCGACGAGGAAGGTGGTTATTTTTAGAAAACAAGCTGTCAAGAACGGGGATAAGGGCCCCTCTAAAGGCAGACAGGTCCGAAAGAGTACTAGAGTTAGAATTGACAAACCTGTCAAAGGAGTCTAAGTCTGAGACCTATTTTGATCAGACTTAATTTTTTCATTAATTAATCACATGATCAGTAAATCAAGCAGGAAGTGCTCTGTTGAAAAATATTCAAACATTTCCTCAAAAATCTAACTCACACAGTCAAAAATGTCCTTCATTAAGAGTCTCATGTGCAGACACATATCATCTATATTCTATAGAGGCAAATGATCAAAGTTAAATCGCTCGAAGCGATAGTTATGCCCGAAACATTCCTCCTATTATGGACTTATAATAATAATAATAATAATAATAATTATTATTATTATTATTATTATTATTATTATTATTATTATTATTATTATTATTATATGATTTAACAGTCATGTTTCCTTTGTGAGCTTCAAATTCCTTTAGGGTAGGAACTTTGTTAAGATTCTTTAAATATTTCATGTAACTTAAGGTGATAAAGAGGTGTAAAGTAGTATGTAAAGCAGCCGCCATAGAATCCAAAATGACAATTTGACAGTTGCAAAAGCATGGTAGTTAATATCTTAACTACCATGCATCATGATAAAGCATCATGACTCTTCGCTGATACTGGTCAAATGGTCTCCAGGATCCTAGCACATATGTCCCAGGTCTATAAAATCCTGTTGCACGAATATTAGTGGGAACAATATACAATAGACCCACTGTTCTTCCTCACTATTGAGCGTGGGGGAACGACTAGTAACATTACATGTTGCAAAGCTTTATCTTCATATAATTATTTCCTCAGCAAGGTACGTGTTTTAGATCAACTCTACTAAACATGATATCCTCTACTAATATGGGTTGATTGTTGACATATGTCTGCTCACAGGTTTCATAATAATCCTAGATATCATAAATTTGATTACTTAGCTTTTTTTGACTGAAGATTCTGATTGAAAGAAGAAGGATTTACATACCAGGAGTGTATATTTACATGTACTCTCATATTAAATTATCTCCATACCATTAAAGCAAGGTTCCTTACCGGAAGAGGCGACGCCAGAAGATAAGAAGCGGGAAGATGTTAGCGAGGACGACGGCCAGGCCAGGCGCCCTGCTCATGCCCTGACGCCACCTGCGGTCGATGCAGGCCTGGCCGGCGCGGGTGGAGACGAAGGCCATGTCCTTGGCTACCAGTGCCAGCTCCAGACAGTTCTTGTTGCCCCATTTGGAATGCTTCTGTTCCAAGAGACCAATGGCTTGGTCTTCGTCCAGTTGATAGCAAGCGTCCAGCAGCTGCAACGGTAGAACAACTAATATTTATATTCTATGTATGACACATTCAAGAAATACAGTACACAGAGAAATCACATTATTGTGATATATCATCTGGGAATACCCAGTGCATAGGTTCGAATCCTCATCACGGCTCCTTTGGATTTTCTCACAGAAATACAATGTTTCAATTAAAAAAAATAAGTGAAAACTAAGTCACACACCAGAAGATGAGAAGACGAAGACGTTTCGGTCCGTCGGGGACACTTATCAAGTCAATTGTGATGGGAGCGAGGAGAGTGTTGTTGTTGTTGTTGTTGTTTTAGATTCAGCTACTCAGAACAAAAAAGTTCCAAGCAGCACGAGCTATGATGAACCTGTAAGTGGAGGCCCTTTGGAGCCATTATCTGTATCAATAGCTGATACCGGAGATCTGGGGATGGGGCTGACTGTACCAGTTATGTTGCTGGTGGTGTAGTGTAGGCTTCTAGGTCTTCCGTTTTTCTTTGGCTGATACTTACTGTGAGTTGGTATGTCCGTGCTGTTGTCAGAGTTTGGTGAGATGGCCTCCATGAGGAGGTCTTGTAGCACGTAGGTGTCGTATTTGTGTTGCGGCGGTGGAGCTCCTACTAAGCTTTCCTCGTCTGAGGAGTCCATAACACCTGTAGTTGGTGGTTTGGTCTTTCGTCTCGCAGCCTGAGGTAGGCTTAGGTGTCGTGGATTAGTGGTTGTAGCTATTTTAGGAGCACTGTGGTGCTGTTAGTATTTGTAGACAGTACGTACTCACCTAATTGTGCTTGCGGGGGTTGAGCTTTGGCTCTGGTCCCGCCTCTCAACTGTCAATCAACTGGTGTACAGATTTCTGAGCCTATTGGGCTCTATCATATCTACATTTGAAACTGTGTATGGAGTCAGCCTCCACCACATCACTTCCTAGTGCATTCCATTTATTAACTACTCTGACACTTAAAAAATCTTTCTCACGTCTCTGTGGCTCATCTGGGTACTAAGTTTCCACGTGTGTCCCCTTGTTCGTGTCCCACCCGTGCTGAAGAGTTTGTCTTTGTCCACCCTGTCAATTCTTCTGAGAATTTTGTAGGTGGTTATCATGTCTCCCCTTACTCTTCTGTTTTCCAGGGATGTTAGGTTCAGCTCCTTTAGCCTTTCCTCGTAGCTCATTCCTCTCAGTTCCGGGTCGAGCCTGGTGGCATACCGCTGAATCTTCTCTAACTTTGTCTTGTGTTTAACTAGGTATGGACTCCAGGCTGGAGCTGCATACTCCAGGATTGGTCTTACATAAGTGGTATACAGGGTTCTGAAAGATTCCTCACACAAGTTTCTAAAGGCAGTTCTTATGTTGGCCAGTCTAGCATATGCCGCTGATGATATTCTTTTGATGTGGGCCTCTGGGGACAGGTTCGGTGTGATATCAACCCCCAAATCTTTATCTCTATTTAACTCTTGCAGGATTTCACCTCCCAGATGATACCTTGTGTTCAGCCTCCTGCTCCCTTCGCCTGATTTCATTACGTTACACTTTCCTGAGTTGAACTTTAGCAGCCATTTTCTTGATCATTCCTCCAGTTTATCCAGGTCATCCTGTAGTCTCTGTCTATCTTCATCCGTCTTGACTCTTTTGCATCATCAGCAAACATTGAGAGGAATGAGTCTATACCCTCCAGAAGATCGTTTACATATATTAGAAACAGGATGGGTCCAAGTACTGAGCCCTGTGGGACTCCGCTGGTGACATCTCGCCACTCTGATGTCTTCCCCGCCCCTCACCGTTACTCGCTGTTTCCTGTTGCTTAGGTACTCTCTTATCCACTGGCACCTTCCCTTTTGCTCCTGCCTGTTGCTCCAACTTTTTTACCAATCTTTTATGGTGTACTGTGTAAAAGGCTTTCTGGCAGTCCAGGAAAATGGAGTTGGCCCACCCTTCTCTTTCCTGCCTAATTTTTGTTGCCTGGTCATAAAATTCTATTAAACCTGTGAGGCACGATTTACCATCCTTGAACCCATGTTGGTGGTGCGTTACAAAGTTATTTCCCTCCAGATGATCTACGAGCCTTTTCCTCACGATCTTCTCCATCACCTTGCATAGTATACAAGTTAAGGAAACTGGCCCGTAGTTCAGTGCCTATTGCCTATCACCTTTCTTGTATATTGGGACCACGTTAGCTGTCTTCCAACTTTCTGGTAAGTCTCCTGTTTCCAGTGACCTGTTATACACCATAGTGAGTGGCTCACTTAGTGCTTCTGCACCTTCCTTTAGTATCCATAGTGAGATTCTGTCAGGCCTAACAGCCTTTGTCACATCCAGCTCCAGCAGACACCTTTTGACCTCATCACTGGTGAGGTCAAATTCCTCCAAGGTTGCTTGGTTTGCCACCTCCTCATTTAGTGCAGGGGTTTCTCCTTGTTCTGTTGTGAAGACCTCCTGGAATCTCTTGTTGAGTTCTTCACACACCTCCTTGTCATTCTCTGTGTATCTGTTCTCCCCTGTTTGCAGCTTCATCACTTGTTCCTTCACTGCTGTTTTCCTCCTGATGTGGCTGTGGAGCAGCTTTGGTTGGGTCTTGGCTTTACTCGCGATGTAATTTTCAAACTGTCTCTGCTTCCCTCCTCACTTTGAAGTACTCATTTCTGGCCCTCTGGTATCTCTCCCTGCTCTCCGGTATTTTGTTATTTCTGTAGTTTCTCCATGTTCTTTTACTTAGTTGCTTTGCTACCATGCATTCCTGGTTGAACCATGGGTTTTTCTGTTTTTTTCGTTTTTCTCCTTTTGGACGGGGATAAACCTGTCTACAGCTTCCTGGCACTTCTGGGTGACAATTTCATCATGACCTGCACATTCTTGTCTCTAAGTTCTGTTTCCCATGGTATTCCTCTGAGGAAGTTCCTCATCTCGTCATATTTTCCTCTTCGGTAATTCAGTCTTTTTCCCTCCGATCCCATCCTTGGATAGGTTATCCCTACCTCCACCAAGTACTCAAAAGTCAGTACACTATGGTCACTCATTCCTATGGGGGCTTCAACTTTGACTTCCCTTATTTCTGACTCATTCAGAGTGAATATCAAGTCTAGTCTAGCTGGTTCATCATTGCCTCTCACTCCTGTGGGTTCCTTGACATGCTGGCTCAGAAAGTTCCTTGTTTCCACTTCCAAGAGTTTAACTCTCCACGTACCTGCACCACCATGTGGGTCCCCATTCTCCCAGTCTATCTTTCCATGGTTGAAATCGCTCATGATTAAGAGTCTTGAGCCATTCCTGCAGGCAACTGAACCTGCTCTTTTTATTATATTAATGGTTGCCATGTTGTTCCTATCAAACTCCTGTCTAGGTCTTCTGTCATTTAGGGGAGGGTTGTAAATGACTGCCACTACCCGCTAAACACACACCGAAACTACGACGTTGGTACAACGTTCGAACAAGTTTTAACACCTCCTAACCAGTTATAACAACCAATATAGCAAGTTGTAACAACGTTCAAATACGTCATAAACACGTTAAGCCAAGATGTAACAACTTTATTACAAGTTGTAACAAGCGGAAAATAGAGACAGTTTCGGTTTGTGTTTCCAGGGTATTATCTTAGGTCCTCCCATTGTTATAGTTCCTGTTAAGTAATCTATGAATCCGTCACTGCCCGGAATTTCCATCTCATGAAAACTCCAGCACTTCCTTATCAGCAGGGCCACTCCTCCACCTCCTCTCCCTTCCCATTCTTTCCTTACTATATAGTAGTCCTTTGGAAAAACAGCATCTGTTATGACCCCTGACAATTTTGTTGCCGTGAGTCGTATTACATGAAGATTTTCTTTTTGCGCCCTTTCCGCAGTTCACTTGCTTTATTGGTAATCCCATCAATGTTTGAGTACATTACCTTGAAGCTCACTTTCTTATATCCAATTTCACCCTCACTCTCCACAAGTGTAGGAGCGTATGTGCTAGCGTATCTGCTGAGATGGTGATGGTAGGAGTGTTGGGAGCTGGAGAGGGAAATACCTTTGTTTGTGCCACCCAAGTCTAGGGTAGTTCTGGAGTCTGGAATGAGATCGACCTCGTGGTCGTCCTGGTGGTCGTCTCCTGAGTGGTAGTGGAGGAAGTGAGACTTGCATGAGGGGCGATGATTGGGTCCAGGCCGTTGGCTAGGTACTGTGTGTTAAATTCCTTGAGGAATTGTTGATTGTCTGGTCTGGCAAGCCTCTCTGCTAGTCGAATAAGATCAGTGATAATACCTGCACGTGATGCAATAGACTGTGAGAGTGCTAGTTGGTCCTCAGGACCCCAGTGTGTTGGCTGGGTGGCCTGTTGAGAGGAGCCACTGTTTGGTAGGACTGGGAAGTCTTCTGGTAGGTTGGTGGGAGCTGAGGTGCTGGCTTTGGTGTTGGTGGCTCTGGCGGAAGTAGAAGGTTTGGCTTTATTGGATTCAGCCTAGATCCTAATGATTTTCTATCTGCAAGGGCAGCGGTGAGTAATTTCAGGGTAAACTCCGCTGCAGAGCAGGCAGCAATTGGTTTTTGTCTCGCAGTTGGAGTAATGATGGTTTTGGGCGCAAAGGCTGCACTTCTGGACAGGGTGCTGACTCTTGTTAGTGGGGGTGTGAGAAATAGAAGCACAGAAAGCACTGTTGGAGCTCGTGGAATCGTTCCTTCTTGATTTAGAAGGGTGAAATCTTGATGCCAAAGCAGTTGAGACCATGTTTGGCAGCCTGGTTAGACGCAGCTAAGGTGGTGAAGGATATCTTCATGGTGGGGCGCTTGTCGTCGTCGGTACTGGTGTTGCAGAATATAACATCGGATACCCCCAGGTTTGGGGTTTCTTCCTCGATATTTGTAATAATCTCCGTTGGTTCTCGGTCCGCGATCCAGCGGCTGGTCCCGTTGATTAAAAACTTTTCGGTCGGCGGTGTACTGACGTGGGAAGAGTAAAGAGGTGGTGCACTTTGCGAAGTGTGAGTTCGAGTTTTTGGAGTTTTTCGAGATCATCCACACACGAGAAATAGAGCACAATATTC